ATGGTCCTCACCCATTTCTTTCTTCTCTAGACTTTGCTCTCCTTAATCAATTTACTTTCACTCAAAAAAGGGTCGGGGAGCATTCTCTTGGTCAGATAGCTATCATTGTAGAGGAAGGGTAATTAAACGACTCAGTGGAGCTCTGTCAGCTGTGATGTGAACTCCATACTCACATACTCTCGATTGTCTACCTCTGCATGACTGGCCTGAGCATCTACACATGATGCTCAGAGCTTTCCTTCACTCAGATCCAGGTAAGTCCTTGAGAGCTGAACACCTTGCGTGTCTGCCTGTCTTCTCACAGATGCCATCTTCCGAAGCAGAAACTCACGCCTGGATCCTGCCTGTCTTGGCTTTCTTAACACTTCATTTTCTTAGGAGATGGCCAGACAAGCAGTCACTGGGGATGTACTGACTGCCAGAACACCATTTCCATGCAAGATCAGTTCTCATTTTAATTTGCTTTAAAGGTGAGAAGTTGAGCCCAACTACAGAGACATGGACTAGCAAGGTGCATTGCCATCCCACCTCCAATGGTCTGTCAAAAAATAAAGAAATAAAAATAACACACACACACACACACACACACACACACACACACACACACACACACACACGGCATCAAACATAAACTGTGAATCTCAGGGAAGGGAAGCAGTTGAGTCATACATAGATTTTCTAGTACCACACTTTAAAATATTTTTATTATATTTTGAGAATTTCATACAATGTAGTTTGATAATATTCACCCCCAGCTTCTCCCAGATCCAACCCCCCCTCTCTATGCACCCATAGATATAACAGAATAAAATAGACTAGAATAAAAATAGGACTCTTATGTATTCTCTTTTTAATTATATTTTAAAAAACTCATCAGGAACCCATTAAGTCTAATTTGTGTTTGTCAAATACTCCTGGGCGTGGGACCCACTCTGGAGCATAGTCGATGTATTACAGGTCACATCCTCAAAGAAAACTGGTTCTTCTGCTCTCAGCAGGTATTAAATACCAAAAGATCCCCAGCTGGGGGTGGACTTCATGTAAGATTTTGTCTGGCGTGAGCTGTGTATGTCTGGTGCACACTGTCGCAGTTGCTGTGAGCTCATGCATGACTGCCCTATTGCAGCTGGAGGACACCATTGCCTTGTCGTCATCGTCATCCACAGCCTCTTTACGCCCATCTGATTCCATGTTTTTAAATGAAAAGGGAAGGAAGGAAGGCAGGAAGGAAGAAAGGCAGGAAGGAAAGAAGGAAGGAAGGAAGGAAGGAAGGAAGGAAGGAAGGAAGGAAGGAAGGAAGGAAGGAAGGAAGGAAGAGACATGTAGCAGTTGAAAAGAAACTTGGACTTGATTTTAATTCTTTTCTCCTGAGGCAGCTGGAGGTGAAGCAGAGCTGGGGCTGGGACAGAGGGAGACGTCTTCAGAAAACTTTCCCAGGCAGAGGATGGGCATAGCCAGCGTCTCTTGGCAGGAGCCAAGTTTTGCACATTTGACAATTTTCAATCAACAGTTCTTTCTCATAACTTCCCCCAGATTTTGTGATCTGATTTAACAATCATGGTTTCAGCAAGGATGCTTGTGACAAGGAGTAGAATACAGGAAGGCCTCAGGAAGCCCCAGGTCAGAGGGCTGCTGGACCCCTCTCTCCTAAGGGAAGCTGGAAACTGGAAACTGGAGAGCTGATTC